AAGAACAATATGGTGAAGGATTGTGAAGGTAGTAAATCTCCAGTAGTCATATCAGAAGCAGAGAAGCTGAGTTGTGTTAACTCTCCCAGCCAAGGGGAAGATCTGTCAAAAGCCCTGGTTGTGTATGGTAATCAGTCACTGCTAACAGAAGTTACTAAAGGAGTGAGTGCGATCAGGCTGAAGAGGGAGCTGGAGGATGCAGTTGAAAAGGAAAAAGTAAAAAGAAGAAAGTTTAATTTTGATGATGACCCACTGAAGGAAATAAAAGATGAGATGAGGGAAAAGAGGCCTGTGGAAAGAAGAAGTGTGAGGATTTTGAAGAGGAGGATCAGGAAAACGAAGGTATCAAGTTGTAAACCTGATTCTATTTCGGGTATTCTCAGTAGTCTGGATGTAGATGGCTCTAAAGAGTACAGTAAAAGTTGTGGTAATAGAACAATGACTGAGGGTGATGGTGGCTGGCCTCAAACAGCCACCAAAGAGCCATGATTTAATTAGTTTGGAACTGTCAAGGATTGGGGAGGTCCTTGACAGTCAAAAAGCTGAGGGAGGAAAACTTTAGAAGAAATCCCTCAGTGATCTTCCTAATGGAGACTAGAATGAAGAAGAAAAAGGTTGAAAATATTAGAAAAAAGTGTCAAATGGATGAGTTGGTGGTAGTAGAGCCGCAGGGTCAGAGTGGAGGTTTGGCTTTGATGTGGAAGAGGGAGATTGCAATTAATGTTTGGTACTGCTTGAAGAACATTATTCACACAAGCATGACCTCTGCGACTAAAGGGGTACCTTATTATGTCACTTTTGTGTATGGTGCACCTAGAGAAGAAGAGAAAATGCTTGTATGGAATAAGATGAGAGACATTGCTTCAAGGATTGATGAGCCCTGGCTCTGCATGGGGGACTTTAATGATATTGCGGCTTGCTGTGAGAAAATTAGTAGCAGACCTGTAAATGTGAGAAGAATGTTGAATTTTCAGGGTATGCTATCAGATTGTGGTCTCCTGGATTTGAAGTTTAGTGGACCTCGGTATACTTGGAATAATGGTAGGATGGGCAGTGCACATGTGAAAGAAAGGTTGGATAGGGCTGTGGCAAATGTAGAATTTTGTGAAGCTTTTCAGAATGCTTTGGTTTTGCACATAGAGCCAGTGGGCTCAGATCATCATATGCTTTGTGTTGATTGCAATTTTAAGCATACTCGTGTGCAAAAGCAATTCAGATTTGAAGCATATTGGATGGAACACGTGGAGTTCTTAAAGGTAGTTAGAGAAGGCTGGAGATTGGAAACTAGTGACTTCATTGACAAAGTTCAGGAACTACTATGCAGGTTGGCAAAGTGTAAAGAGGCTTTGACAGAATGGGGAAAAGCCACCTTTCCGAATGCAAGGAAGTCGCTTGAGCAGTTAACAAGGAGGCTAGAAGTCTGTAGGAGTGGTGTGTTAACAGAAGATAATAAAAATGAGATTGATGATTTAATTAAGAAGATGGAGGAAGCGTGGGACAGAGAAGAAGTGTATTGGTGGCAGAGGGCACGTGTGAAATGGTTGGAAGACGGAGACAGGAATACCAAATTCTTTCACTCAAGTACAATTCAAAGAAGAGTAAGGAATAAAGTTGTCAAACTGAGAGGAGATGGAGGAGTATGGCTGGAGAAAGAGGAAGAAATTAACAACACCTTCATTAGGTTCTATAATGATCTCTTTCTGTCAAAGGGATGTACTGGAGTGGATGAGGTTTTGAGGTATGTGCAGAGACAGGTCACTGCTGAAGATAATCTACACTTGGAAAGATCAGTCACAAGGGAAGAAATTAAGGCTGCAGCTTTCCAGTTAGGAGGAGCAAAGGCACCTGGACCTGATGGCTTTTCTGGTATGTTTTATCATACTGCGTGGTCTGAGGTTGGAAATGATGTGATAGACATGGTGATTGATTTTTTTTGAGAATAATGCTAAATTAGATAATTTGAACTGTACGAATGTGGTCTTGATCCCGAAAGTCGAAAATGCTGAAACTGTAGGACAATATAGACCTATTGGTTTGTGCAACTTTGCTTATAAAATTGTCTCCAAGGTACTTGCTAATAGAATGCGTGGTGTATTGGCAAGAGTGATTTCTAATAACCAGAGGGCTTTTATTGAGGGAAGATTGATCCAGGATAATATTGTGATTGCTCATGAGGCTTATCATTACTTGAAAAACAAAAAGAAGGGAAGAAAATTTGAAATGGCTGTTAAGATTGATATGAATAAGGCTTATGATCGCCTGGAATGGGACTTTATTGAGCTTGTGATGAAAAAGATGGGATTTGGGGAGAAGTGGGTGGGATGGATCATGGAATGTGTTAGATCTGTTAAAATGTGTTTGGTGGTGGGAGGAAGAAGGATCGCAGATTTGAATATGGGCAGGGGTATTAGGCAGGGTGACCCACTATCTCCCTTCCTTTTTATTATGGCTGCAGATGTTCTTTCTGTGATGGTTCAATGGTATGTGGATCATGGGAAGCTAAAGGGTATTAAATTGGCCTCTAAATGTCCAGTGCTTTCTCACTGTTTTTTTGCAGACGACTCTCTCTTTTTTGTTAAAGCTGAAAAAAGGAATTGCAAGCTGTTGAAGAAAATCCTGGATGACTACGCTTTAGCTTCTGGGCAATCAATTAATATTGATAAATCCTGCATTTTTTTCTCAAGGAACACAGTTGATTCGGTCAAGCAAGATGTCTTTCAGTCTCTTGGCATAAGAGGTACTTCTGAACCTGGAAGTTATCTTGGTTTACCGGTTTTATGGGGCAAATCTAAGTCTGAGGCTCTGGTTTTTGTAAAGAACAAGATGAGTTTGAAAGCAGGGTTGGAAACAAAGATTGTTATCTTTTGCTGGTAGGGAAATTATGATCAAAGCAGTAGCTAATGCCATACCAATCTATCCTATGTCTTGCTTCAAGTTTCCCAAAAAAGTCTGTATAGAATTGGATAGAATGATTGCGGGATTTTGGTGGGGACAAAAGGAGTTGGAAGGTCGGATTCATTGGAAGTCCTGGAGTTGTATGTGTAGTGATAAGGGGGAGGGTGGTATGGGCTTTAGAGATTTCATGAAAATGAACAAGACCTTACTTGCCAAAACTGCTTGGAGATTATGCCAAAATCAAAATGATTTGTGGTGTAGAATACTAAAAGGTAGATATTTCCCAGATTCTGATTTTATGCAAGCCAAAAGGGGTAATAATGCATCATGGGGTTGGTATAGTATTTTGGAGGGACGGCAGCTTCTTCAAGAAGAGTTAATTTGGAAAGTGTACAATGGTGCTGAAATTAGTCTTTTTGAGGATAAATGGTTGCCTGAAGTCAAGGGCAATTGCCTGAAGCAGAGGGTACTGTCTGATGATATGAAGAAAATGAAGGTTGCTGATATAATTGTTGACCAACAATGGAACTTTAGCCCTGTGGAGAATATACTAGATGATGACGAAAAGGTGTGGATCAATTCGGTAAGATTACCTGTTGTGCAGGGGGTTGACAAGTATGTTTGGTTGGGGAGTAGGGATGGCACTTATTCTGTGAAGCTTGGTTATAAGGCTGCTAGGAGGGAGGAGGGTAATATGGTAGAGGAGAGACCTAGTAGCTCGTATAAGGCTTCTAAGAGATTGTGGAACAGCATTTGGCAAATCCGAGTACCTCCAAAGGTTAACCATTTTCTTTGGAGAGCTGCGAATGGCGTGCTAGCAACTAAAGCAGAACTCTTTAAAAGGAAGTGTGCTAATAACCCAATGTGTAGCATTTGTAAGGTGAGTGTTGAATCAACTGAGCATGCTATTTTCCTATGCCCCTGGGCCCAATCATGCTGGTTTGGTTCTCCCTTGGCCATGAGATTTGTGGAGGGTAATATGATCAGGTTGGATAGGTGGTTGGAGGAGTGGTTGACAGGGAGAATGAAGTCAGAGGATTATAATATTACTCTATTTGCTTGTCTGTGCTGGAATATTTGGAAGGAAAGGTGTAGCAGCATTTTTGAACATGTTGAGGTTAATGCTGTGAACTGTTTATCTAGAGTTATCAGATTGGCCAACGAATATTGGAGTCAGTTGGAGAGAAAGGAAAGAAGGAGAGGGATGGTTGATTCAGATGTCAGATTGCTATCCTGGCAAAGGCCTCAGACATGGGTTGTAAAGATCAATGTGGATGGTGCTTTTTGTCCTAACAGGAAGTGTGCGAGCATTGGTCTGCTTGGTAGAGATAGTGCAGGAAGGTTCCTAGGAGGAGTGGGGAAGATGGTGGTTGCTGACTCGGCTTTCATGGCAGAGTGCTTAGCCTTTATGGAAGCGCTCTAGATTAAGGACATCTTTAGTGAAGGTAAAGTTGTGATCGAGACTGACTCCCAGCTGTTGTTTAAAAGTCTTAGAAGTGGTGACACAAAGGGATGTGAGTGGAACTGTACTGACGTGCTGAAGAAGTGCTTGGAGATTGGAGGTTCTGTTAGTAATTGGTCGATGTCCTTAGTTTCTCGAAAGGGCAATAATGCTGCGGATCTCATTGCAGCTATGATAATGAGGGATATGGTACCGCAAGGATGGCTTGACAGGCCACCATTCTCTCTTTTGGAAGTTTTAAGACAGGATCTTCAAAATCCTAGTACTGATGCTGGCGAGAAGAAAGGAATCGGCTGAGTTGCTGATTACTAAAATGTGTATTCCTTCTTTCTGATTTTCAATAAAATGGACGAATATTTCAGCTCAAAAAAAAAAAAACTTCTCGTTAGGTCGACTTCAAGCAATATCACCCTCTGGTCAAAATCCAGACATTTGTGATTAAGTTTTAAGAATTTCCCCGTAATTAGTTAATTGCAATGCTCCATATACTACTCTTAAAATCTCTCTCTCTGCCTGCGAGTGATTGTAAGTCTAAGGCTGCGTCTAATTGATCGCTATCACTCCATTAAATTACAGAAGAATACAAGGATGAGTATAATAATATTAGTGAAAAATGAGGCATAAATGTCTAACAAAGTTGATATTAATGGGTTAAAGTAGAGAGGGAGAACAAGGTTCGAGCAGGAAACCAAGCAGAGGCAAATACGACATTATGTCCTTTCCACGTCAGCAGAAGATGTTGGTCTTGCTTCTTGAACCCCCACGCCGCTGCATGTTCGTCCAGCATGGCCTTCACCTCCGAAACGGTGTCGTCGCTGAAGCTAACCCCCTGAAACCCAGCATCTCTCATTCGCTGCTCCCACCTGCCCTTGCTCTCAAGCCTCTCTACCCTCTCAGCCCCTTCTTGCGCTATCACATTCTCTATCTTCCAACATATGTCCGCTTCGTACCACTGCCTTTGCTTGCTCCCTTGTTGAACAAACGCGTCCACCATGTCGTACGGTATCCACATGTAGTTAAACGCAGCCCTCAGCCTGCACACCAAATCGCTCGATGTCAAATCTGCGTCCTCCTCCACCAAAACGACAAGCGTTGGGTTCAAACTCCGCAGTGCCTTCAGGAACAGTGATCTCAGGGATGAAGAAGAGGCAGCGGATAGGGTTTCGTCAGGAATCCAGTGGAGCATCATGTGACAGTTTATCACCAAAGCTTCCGTCACCTGAAGGTGGTGCAACCCAAGGTATTGGATCAAAGCAGCGAACCCGTCTGCGTGAGTCGATGAAACCACTCTAAAATCCATCATGACGTTTTTAGACTTTGCGAAATTGACCAGCTTTGAACCCAGTTCGTCGTAGGAAATGTCAAGCATAGGCGGGATGTTTCTTGAAGCACCCACTACTGTGAGCTTTATCAGAGGAGGGACGTCATGGCGGGAAGCGATGGCGTCGATTAAGGTGGGAATCTGCATGCAGTGTGTTGAGCTCAGGTCAACGATGTGGATGGTGGAGAAACCTTCCGTGGCTTCTAGAATGGCCGAATTAGCTGCTGTGAAGCCGAAGCGATGCCAGGGGGTGACGTCGACGAAGTTGGCGAGCTCGATGAGGGAGAAGCGGTGGGTTCGGATGGCGAGACTGGTGTTGCTGTGAGCGCTAGCGACGGCGGCTAACATTTTGGAGCTTCCAGATTTGGCGGCGCGTGCGGCGAGGGCACGCAGGAATGTGGCGGCGAGACGCTGGTTGGAGTCGCCGTCGGGAGGTGCGATGTTATTGAGAACCCAGAGGATTTGTTGGGCAAGAGTGACGTCATTGGCCTCGATGGCGTCGGCACAGTGAATAAGCAACTGTTCCATGCAATTAGCATCGCCCAATCTTCCTAGTGCCTTCGATTGTTGGAATTTTGGCCACAAATTGGTCGTCCTAGGAACTTGAATGTTGTTGTTATTACTGATGGAGTTGGAAAGGGGTGTTATTTGGTGCAAAGGTGGCAGTGTTGGTGTGAACTGCGTCATAGAAATCACTTCGACACTGTTAGTTGTAGCCTTGTAGGTTTAGACTTGAGATAGAGAGAGATATGAGAAGAAATGAACAAAAAGAAAGGGGAAGGAACGGTATATAATGCAACCAAAAAAAAAAAGGGATCAGAGCAATTCAGAAAGGGGCAGAAAAAGGGAAAGTGACCTGACCAGCAGTGGGGAAATAGGTGGTGGGCTAGCTTTGCCATTGGGAAAAGATCCAGATGAGGTGAAATGAGCAGTGAAGTTGGGGGAGAAATCTGAAGAGTTCTGAAATCTGAGAATGAGAAAATGGACAGACCAGCTTTTTGGTGCATAAGGGGCATGTATGTTTATCGTGCTTGGAAAAAGAGAGTGATGATGAGCAGTAAGAGATCAGGGGCAAAAACCCCATCCCGAAAAACTGAAGTGAAGTGAAAAGAGAGGCATGGTTGGGGAGGGGAAAACAGCCAAAAGATTAGCAGTGAGCAACATATTTGGTGGCTACAAAGAGAGGAAGATCCTAATGCTGAAAACCCTTATTGTTATTTCTGAGTTTGGGTGGTGAGCAACGAGAGAGACGAATTTGGAGGCATGTGAAGCAGCCGGCCAGCAATTTGTCTGCATTTGGGAGTTGGGATTTTGTCATGTAATGGTTAGCAGTCTGGGAGAATTTCAAACAGTTTAGCTTTTGGCTCACTCCCTCACAGGGCGCCTTTGCATCATCTTCAATTCATAAATCGATAAACCATTGTGATGTAGTTTTAATAGTCTAAATTTCAAATTTTAATCGTCTATATTAAAGTTAAATGGTTGAATATACGATGAGCACCCTAATTCTATATATTTTGATCCTTGAACATAACATACATAGATGCCCCATTTTTTTCACTCTTATTTACAGGATTTGATCTCTCCCAAATTGGACTTGTCACATTATTTTGAGGGATTTCTATGACTATAAATAGTTTCTTTCTTCTTCTTCATTCTCCTTTGAATCATCCTTTCATCTCCTAACCCCCCCCCAGACTAACAAGTTTTATCTGAGCATATTGTACGAGGAATAAAATTCGCGCCATCCCCATTGGTTTTGGTCATCTTTTCTATGGGACTAACTATTTCCCTGTCCAATCATCATAACGGCGGATATGACTATCTCAGAACAGTATCAGGACATGTTCTTTTGCAGCAAGCTAAGTGTGAGAAGAACGAAAATATGACAAGAATATCCTATAATCCAAACCATTTTTTGTCCACAACAAACACATCTCTAGCTACTCCTTTCCAAATTTCTTTTCGATTAAAATATTCTAATCATTTCGACAAATGCTGGAGTCTACCTGATAATATAAAAGTATTGTTTGTTACATCTGTGATTAAATGATGTGACTATAACTCTACAGGTAAGACTCTATCATCCCACAAGATACGAAATCAAAGCAAGTATGAAAGAATTAACGTGCGCAATAAATAAGAAAATCCCTATTACGTTTCGTTGGCTGTTTTTGTCGCCCACTCATAATCAATCAATCAATCAATATATATAATATACGGATGGATATACGTGTCGAAAACAGTAGTTTTAAAATATGGTCCGAGTAGTATCTGAAAACACTATTTTTAAACATTATTTCAGCTTCGTTTTATAGTTGTTGTGCGTATGAGCCAACTTCTCTTCTTAACCCTTTTACTTGACCAAGTTTACGTCTTAGTGTTATATGTATATATATAGACCAAGGCTTCCACCATTTTAAAATGTGAATTTCTCTTTTCTTTTCTTTTTTTTTGGACAACTAAGAATCCAATTATTATAAGTAGTACAGTGATGCACATAACGCCGCCCCCAGGAAATTTGATAGGAGGGGACCAAACATAAGAATCATTGGTCAAAAATTACTGCTCACAGCTAATTGTCTGCTTTTATTATGCCGTTCTTTGTTCCATATACATAGATACTACATTATCAGCCGCAGAATTTGGTGAGGTGGCTTCTATATTTATATATATTTTACCTGCCGAACATGTTACCCAAGGCATGCTTCTTACTGATCTCTAGAGGAAAACTACGTTTCACCAAGCATTCTGCGGCAATCATTCTCCATATACATATATATTTCTCACGGCACACACACACACTCACTCTGTGTGTGTGTGTGTGTATCATGTGCTTGGACGAAGTGGAGTCAGAATGTTTCATGTAGACGAAGATCTGTCACGTGAGTGGCACGCCCCCGGGAGCGTCCTATAAATTGGCTTTTACTGTGAGAAGTGAGAAGCCATGCTGTGCAGCGCCTCGTGACGTGCTTTGCTTTGCTCCCTTTTCCTCCTCCAAATTTAAAGCCCCATGTCCCCAGTCCAAATTGACTACTACTATTACTACCTCCAGCTCTAATTATAAGAGCTAGTTGACTAATTTGAGAAGATTAAGGAAAGGAGTTAAGTTAGTTATTTGTAATAAATATGTATTGTCTTTCCTAAAATATCCTTACTAATTAAGTGTATTGGCTATAACTACCATTGTTAGAGGACTACTATCTGGAAAAAATGTATAAATATGAGAAACAAAGTGAATTAGGGTCTTATATCTAAGACCAAATAAAAGTCAAATAAGGTCTTATATTAAGGATCGGTAATACTTCTTAATCCCAGCTAGCCAATTTCTTAATCCATATTTTTATTCTTGATTCTTTTGTTGGTTGATTATCCGTTATTCATATACATTTCACTACTGTACGTAGCAAGGAATTATCTTTAATATAATGCACCTGTTTTTCATGTTATATATTAAAGTGATAATAATTGAACGTTATAGAAGAGGATAAAATGCACTGCACGGCCTGGTTTACTTTCTTTTGTTTGCCCGTGCCTCATACACAGGGACCATTTTGTATTGTTGCATGAATGAAAAGGTCATGAGAATGCAAGCTCTTCCATGGCAACAGTGCTGGCCTGGACACGTGATTTCAGAGTGAAGGAAGGGCCCCCTTACATGTTGTGTACAAATCATTATTCATTTCGTCTAAAACAATCCGACTGACTCAAACGTTGTTTTGCCTTATCATGTCTACTCGTACAAATCCGAGAGAGAGAGAGTCTTGTCTGAAGCTAACAGGTTTAATTTCTCACTGTTTCAGGCGTAGAGTAATGGAATCTTACTATTAAACTACCAAAAGCTGCAAGATTTTTTTTTTTTTTGGGAAATCATGCCCTCGGATTTCTAGCCACATGATTATTGGGTCACTAGCTAAAATGGCTCAGCCGAAGGAGAGAATGAGAAGAATCTGAAGGGAAGCATATAAGGAAAACAGCAAAAGTTGAAGAAACGTAATAGTATTAATACTGGTGAAAACGGGAATTTTGAGGATGATTCCTAAACTACAGGTACAGGCAACATATAAAAAGACATATTTATTTGGGAAAATGACATTAAGGTCCACACAAAGAAAATATACTACAAAACAGTCTCCTGAAATCTGATAATGAATCATAAGTCCCATAGGGACTTAACTGCAATAATAAGAATGTTTAAAAGACATTTATTGCCCAGCAGTGTGAAGGAAAGGGCGCTCATATTTTCTACACGATCTGAAGTTGCTGCTAATAGGAGAGAAGAGATGGAGAAGAAGGAAATAGCCATTGATAAAGCATCTTTCTCATCACTCTTAGTGAATTCCAAAGAGTTTCCATTTCAATCTCTCCAAACTTCCAGGTTTTGAAACTTTCTTCCCCCTCTTCTTTGTATTTTGCTTGACAGATGTGTTGTTGGGTATTGGAATTTAGAAATTCGTTTTTGCCTTTAGGTATTGCAAAGCTTTTGTTTTTTTGTCTAATATGAACAAGATAATCAATAAAAAAGGTTGTGCTTTTGGTTGGTGTGGGTTAGCAATTTAAGTTGGGGTTTCATTGTAGGTGGGTAGAATGATGATAGGTGCTCTGTTTTTTGTTACATTATGGGTGGTTTACTCTATCTATTTTAGTATGGTTTAGTGTGAAAGATGAAGAAGATGAAGGTTGGTGTGGGTGAAAACCTTTCCTGTGAAATGGGATATTATGTTTGTCAATATAAGCTGTGAAAGTTATCAATGGATGCCGCGACAGTTGTCAATTGTGCTGCTTTACTTGTCAATAACAGCTAGATGATTGTTGATGTAGGTTTACATTAATGATGGCCAGTATGTCTGGGAAGCATCACACCGTCAAACCATGCAAGAACCCAAATACCAACTGAGAATGTATTGAAATCAGTTATTTTTTGTATATGGATATGAAAGGAATATTTTGTAAATGAGTGTGAAGGGATTTTTTTGTAAATAGATACACACCAACAATTAGTTTGGTAATTATATGCACCCTATTTTTTTTTTAATGGGTTGTGAAATATGTGTAATTCCATGTATACAAAGATGTAAATGAAAGTTGGCTATAAACTGATATGTTAGATTCTACTGTCATTTGAGTTGTAATTATTACACCTTGCATTGTCAATAGACCTGTTTTGACTTGTCACTAATTGCAGTATGACTTGTCCATTAATCTGCTGATGTGAGTTATCTAAAATATGAATTCAAGTTACATAATAATTGACATATCAATACACTACAAAAAATATATTAATTCTAGCGAGTTAGAGTGTTACATTTCTAGCGGTTTTTAACCGCAACAAATAAATTTGTTCGGTTAAGTTACCGCTAGAAAACAGTGCAAGAAAAAATTCTAGTGGTTATCGCAACCGCTACACATCATGGTCAAAACGATAGAAAAATTTCTAGCGGTTTCCGAACCGCTAGAAAATATCTGAAGGAGACACATTCCTAGCGGTTACAAACCGCTAGAAAATTTTCCCGGAGAACATTTCTAGCGGTTTTGTAACCGCTAGAACCTGCTAAACAAATTCATTTTGCCGGAATTAAATAATTTCAGTAGCGCGCGAAAATTACTAGCGGTTATAGAACCGCTAGAAATTTTTGGGAAATTAAATTTTCCCGCCAATTGAATTTTAGGAATGGCGGGAAAAACTT